AATCACCAGGAGATTGTGAGTTCTAGTCCCAGCTTAGCCATGAAAGCCAGCTGGGTGTCTTTTGGCCCATCACCAGGAGATGGTGAGTTCTAGTCCTGCCTGGGACATGAAAGCCAGCTGGGTGACTTTGGGCCAGTCACCAGGAGACAGCGAGTTCTAGTCCCAGCTTAGCCATAATGGTCATCTGGGTGTCTTTGGGACAATCACCAGGAGATTGTGAGTTCTAGTCCCATCTTAGCCATGAAAGCCAGCTGGGTGTCTTTTGGCCCATCACCAGGAGACGGCAAGTTCTTGTCCCGCCTGGGGCATGAAAGCCAACTGGGTGACTTTGGCCAGTCACCAGGAGATGGCGAGTTCTAGTCCAAGCTTAGCTGTAATAGTCATCAGGGTGTCTTTGGGCCAATCACTGGGAGACTGTGAGTTCTAGTCCCAGCTTAGCCATGAAAGCCAGCAGGGTGTCTTTGGGCCAATCACCAGGAGACAGCGAGTTCTAGTCCGAGCTTAGCTATAATAGTCATCAGGATGTCTTTGGGCCAATCACCGGGAGATTGTGAGTTCTAGTCCCAGCTTAGCCCTGAAAGCCAGCTGGGTGTCTTTTGGCCCATCACCAGGAGATGGTGAGTTCTAGTCCTGCCTGGGACATGAAAGCTAGCTGGGTGACTTTGGGCCAGTCACCAGGAGACGGCGAGTTCTAGTTCCAGCTTAGCCATAATAGTCATCTGGGTGTCTCTGGGCCAATCACCAGGAGACGGCGAGTTCTAGTCCCAGCTTAGCCATGAAAGCTAGCTGGGTGTCTTTGGGCCAGTCACTCCCTCTCAGTTCAGCTCACCTCACAAGGTTGCTGTTGTGAGGACAACAGGAAGGTGTGTTGGATATGTTCCCTACCTTGAATTGTTTGTAAAAATAATGAAGGTGGGATACAAATAGATAAAATACCGTAGTCCTCAAATTACGACCCACAATTTTTCTTGCTAAATGAAACATTTGTTCAGTGGGTTTCACCCCATTTTACGACCTTTCTTGCCACCGTTGTCAAGTGATTCACTGCAGTGGTTCAGTTAGTAATAGGGTTGTTAAGTGAATCAGGCTTCCCCGTTGACTTTCCTTGTCAGGAGGTCGCAAAAGGGGGATCGCATGACCCCTGGACACTGCGACCGTCATAAATACGAGTCAGTTGCCAAATGTCTGAATTTTGATCATGTGACCATGGGGATGCTGCGATGGTCATTAAGTGGGAAAAACGGTCATAAGTCACTTTTTTTCAGTGCCGTTGTAACTTTGAACGGTCCCTAAATGAACGATTATAAGTCGAGGACTGTAAAATAAAAATACAGTAGTAGCGTGGCATGTGTCGAATACCTTTACTAGCCACGCAACTGTACGCTGCATAAGTTGAAGCTTCTGAATGCTCTTCCCCATGTAGAGTGTATTGCAGTAGTTTAGACCAAGGCTTTTCAACCAGTGGCACGGGTACCACCTGTGGTACATTGGCACCTGGCAGGTGGTAAGCGACCATCCTAGAAAAGTGGTAGCGGGAGAGGGGAATGAGCTGAACCGGTGGCAGCACCGCACAAGCCTGAGCGAGAGATGGCTGGAGCTGCAGGGCTGTCAGGGCTCAGCGGAAGCACCAGGATCAGCGCCAGGCTCCAGCTGGAGCTCGGCACTGATCCTGACACTTCTGCTGAGCCCTGAAGAAGCGCCGATCAGCTGGAATGTTGCAGCATCTCCAGGGTCTTGTGATTTACATTCAGATGCTTGGCAACTGATTCATATTTATGACCGTCACAGTGTCCCAGGGTCATGTGAAGTGACCAAAACCTGCTGCAACCACCCAGCAGACAGGAGGAATAAAAACCAAACACCCCCCACCCCACCCCCGCTGCCAATCCTCAACAGAAATGCTCACAACAATGAAAACCTCGGACAGGAGGAAGAGCGCCACCGGGGGGTGGGCAGGCAGGTGTCTTGCTCGGCTGTGGCTTGGGGGGCACTTTTTTCAGTGCCATTGTAACTTCGAACAGTCAGTAAGCAAACTGTTGTAAGTCGAGGACTACCTGTACTTTATCACTTTTTCCCTTTTTGGGGGGGTCATCAAGTTTTTGACGCCTTGCTAGGCGACTGGTGGTACTCGGATGTTGCCATATCCTAAAAGTGGCACAATGGGTGAAAAGGTTGAAAAGCCCTGGACTAGACAACCAGTCACAAGATGAGTGATGGTAAGCAAAGCCTTTCTATCCTCCACCATACCACATATTGTCCCTCCATCCACGGGTCGTGCCCACGAGCAGTCCACGAAAATCTTTCCCTTCCCCACCATCCAGTCAGAGCTGAAGAAGCTTCTTGGATGAGAAGCCAAACGTCTTCAAAGAAAAACAAGAAAGTCCAGTTGCCTCCTGAAAAAGCACCCTTGGGAGATATGGGAGATTCCATTCTATACCTTACAATGAGCGTCTCTGCATTTGCGGAGCAGCAGAGGTAGAAGACCTGGCTCACATACTATTTGATTGTTGCTTGTACAAGAGGGTGAGAGACAGGTTCCTCGGTCTATATATCAAACGAATGACTCATTGGGATCCCCATATCAAAACAACTTACCTTATGTGCGGCCAGANATGGTTCGGTTGAGATCTACATATGTGGGACTGATTGGGGTAGATTGCAAGGGTGACTCCAAGATATAATTTTATCATATTTTATCTATATTTTAAATTATTGTACTCTATTTTAACTTCATTTTAGACTGTATTTTACTCCAATTTCATCTTAAGTCATATATTATTCTAGTTCCATTTTAAACTGTATTTTATCAAAAAAAAAAATTAAATTGCTTTTATTAGACTTTGGTAATGATTTGTTATTGGAACTTTGCACTTTGATATGGCCCAAGGGCTAATCAATAAAGATTATTAGTATTATTAGTATTAGCACCCTTGGGACGTCCATCACTGGAGGTTCTCAAAAATAGACTGAATAAACATTTGACCAGCAGGGTGTAAGATCTCCTGGCTTGAGCAAGGGATTGGACAAGAAGACCACCAAGATCCGTTCCAGCCCTATGGTCCTATGTAACTGTGTCTCATTTGATTTTTGACCGGGCTCTCCCAGAAACAGGCCCTTCAATAAAAAAAATCGAATAAACAGCACCCTAAATAAAATATGGTCCTGAAAAATCATAATGAGACACGGCGAGGAAAGGAAGGAGAAACGAGAAAGGGAATTGTTATGAATCAAAATGTTTATTCCATTCAAAAAGCCCACGGCGCCGCCCCACAATCGTGCTTAAGTGTAAAATGTAATATATTTTAATGAGTTCAAATGTTAACAAGAGTGAATGTAACAGACAAAACGTATTTGCAAAACAGACCCTCATCCAAAGCTGCATCTTCTCACCCAAGCAAAAACATTTTAAGGCCTCTGTAATGATTTCAAACTTTGCCACCGAGTAGAGCAGTATTTCTAGTTCTCATTGAGGTTAAGATGTGTGGACTTCAAGTCCCAGAATTCCCCAGCCAGCGTAGCTCTATGGGGGAATTCTGGGAGTTGAAGTCCACACAGCTTAAAAAAGTTGACTTGAGAAGTTGTGGCCCAAAAGCTTCTCTCTCTCTCTCTCTCTCTTTTTTTTTTTTTGGCTATGTTTCCATCTCCCGACAACACCAAGCAATGCTAGAAAACAACCCCCCCCCTCAAAGAAAAGAATCACCATAAACCTAGTAAAATATCAGATTAAAAAAAGAACCGTCAAATGGCATTCTCAAGAAGCAATTTCTGGACCACGTTCGGCCGCTCGATGCAGCCGGAGGAGATGCATCTCCATCACAGCCTGGGTCCAAAGAGATAGAAGAAACTGGCGAGCGTAGCCAAGGCCAACAGCAGGTGGTTGATGTGGATGCTGTTGGCCCCGCTGATATTGCACAAAAACGAGGAACAGCAGTTGATCGACATGGCCGCGATGCCAATATCGATCCCGCCGCGTGGGCAAACCGGCACACAGCCCTTGCTGATTGACTGTGAAGAATATCCACCTGTCCGGAAGGGAAACAAAAAAAAAATAGGGTGTTTATAAAAGAGCAGAAGACATTTGTGGACTTTCTGAGAGTTAAATACAACAATAGGTTGTTAACAGAGAGCTTTCAGGTTTAGCCTCATGGTCAGTGATGGGATTCAGCCGGTTCGCAACAGTTCGGCAGAACCTGTAGCTAAATTTTGTTGAGTTCGGAGAACCGGCTGAATGCACACTGCTTCCGGAAGTCTGCTCTAGGCCTAGGAGGCCTCCTCTAGGCCAGGGCTTTTCAATCAGTGGTACGGGTACCACCTGTGGTACATTGACACCTGGCAGGTGGTATGCGAGCATCCTAGAAAAGTGGTAGCGGGGGAGGGGAATGAGCTGAACCGGTGGCAGCACCGCACAAGCCTGAGCGAAAAACGGCTGGAGCTGCAGGGCTGTCAGGGCTCAGCGGAAGCACCAGGATCAGTGTCGCTTTCCAGCTGATCGGCATTTCTTCGGGGCTGTCAGGGCTCAGTGGAAGCGCCAGGATCAGCGGCAGGCTCTGGCTGGAGCTCGGCGCTGATCCTGGTGCTTCTGCTGAGCCCAGAAGAAGCGCCAGTCAGCTGGAATGTTGCAGCCTCTCCAGAGTCTTGTGATTTACATTGAGATGCTTGGCAACTGATTCATATTTATGACGGTCACAGTGTCCCAGGATCTTGTGAAGTGACCAAAACCTGCTGCAACCACCCAGCAGACGGGGGGAATAAAAACCAAACACCCCCCCACCCCTGCTGCCAATCCTCAACAGAAATGCTCACAACAATGAAAACCTCGGACAGGAGGTAGAGCGCCGCCAGGCGGGCAGGCAGGTGTCTCGCTCGGCTGTGGTTTGGGGGCACTTTTTTCAGTGCCATTGTAATTTCAAACAGTCACTAAGCGAACTGTTGTAAGTTGAGGACTACCTGTACTTTATCACCTTTTTCCTTTTTTTCTTTTTTGGTCATCAAATTTTTGACACCTTGCTTGGCAACTGTTGGTACTCGGATGTTGCCATATCCTAAAAGTGGTACAACAGATGAAAAGGTTGGAAAACCCTGCTCTAGGCCTCCCAGGCCTGAAACGGCCCGCCGGAAGTGAGGGGATGCCACTTCCGGAAGTCCATTCTAGGCCTCAGAGACCTGGAGGCCTCCCAGGCCTAGAACGGCCCACTGGAAGTGCAGGGATGCCACTTCCGGTAGTCCATTCTAGGCCTCAGACGCCCAGGCCTGCATCCACCCAGAGAACCAGTTGTTCAGAGATTTGAATCCCACCACTGCTCATGGTTGGAACTAATAAGTAGCCCTCAACATGCAATCCCAATTGAGCCTAAAAGTTCCGTCGGCTTAAACGAGACAGCTGTTAAAGGGGGTTTTGCCCCATTCTATGACTTTTCTTGGAAGAGTTGTTAAGCGAATGACTCCAGTTCTTACGTTAGTAACACAGTGGTTAAGTGAATCTGGCTTCCCCATTGACTTTGCTTGTCAGAAAGTTGCAAAAGGGGATCGCGTGACCCCCCACCCCGGGACACTGCAACCGTCATAAACATGAGTCAGTGGCCAAACATCTGAATTTTGATCCGTCAGTTTTCTCCCATTTTACGACCTTTCTCACTACAGTGGTTAAGTGAATCTGGCTTCCCCACAGATTTTGCTTGTCAGAAGGTTGCAAAAAAGGGACCAGGCGACAACGGGACGTGTGTATTTTACACTGAAGAGAGCAAAAACATAGATTTGGGGACAAAAATACAACGTCCCTCAGTTGCAGGGATGATCTAACGTAGCGTTCCCCAATCTTTCCGGGTTGGTGGTCTGGCGTGAGGGGAAGAGAGGATTGTTTTGTGCGAAGGGCAGGTGCACGTGCATTTCGTTTGTGTGAGCAGTGGACACGCGCAAGTGGGGCTTTGAGCACCAGTGCCCATCACAAATGCAAGCGTGGCTGCGAGGGACAGCACCCACCGCTCGCATGAATAGGGCTGCGCGTGCACGTGGATACACCAGCCCACCACTCACATGGCCTGGTTGAAAATAGGCCACGGCCCGGTAGTGGGCCGTAGCACACAGGCTGGGGAACCCCGATCGAGCAGGCCAACCCTTGGAGGAAGTGATATGGTCCTCCTGCCATTTCACCAGGCCAAAGTGAACGTACCAATCCCAGCACCGGTATACGTGGTGACGCAGTAGTTGTCCTCATTGGAACAGACCTGCATCCTCCAGCAGTCCCAGTTCGATTCGACCTCGTTGCATGACCAACAGACCAGTGAGAAAACTGGAAGAAAAGATTTCAGAAAGGTGAGATGTGCAGTGAAACTGTTTGTTTATTTTAACTTGCTTTATTTTTATCCCGTCTTTATTATATTTATAAGTAATTCAAGGTGGTGAACTTCTTTTAATACTCCTTCCTTCTCCTATTTTCCCCATAAACACCCCGTGAGGTGGGCTGGGCAGAGAGAGAGAGAGACTGGCCCAAAGTCATCCATGTTTCTTTAATAGCTAAGGTAGGATAAGATAGTGAAAGAACCAATGATTGCATGGGCAAAAAACACAGGGCACAATATAGAATTAGAAGATTGGGAAAGAATTTGGAATAAAAATCACAAAATAACGAAATCCGCTGCATATAAGGAAAATCAATATAAAATGCTCTATCGTTGGCACCTAGCCCCTGCAAGATTAGCCAAAATGTATCCAAACCAAAGCCCAAATTGTTGGAAATGTAATTATCGTCAAGGTACCTTCTTTCATGCTTGTTGGCTATGTCCTGAAGCGAAGAAATATTGGATTAAAATACAGGGTGGCTACAAGACTTAACAAAATGTCAAATCGAAGTAAATCCAGAAACATTTCTCCTGGGAATACTTAAAAAGAAATTTGATAAGAAAATAAGATATCTGATTTTACATATATTAACTGCGGCAAGAATTGCATTCACGCAATATTGGAAGGAACGCAATTTACCACCAGAGGGGTTGATTATTCAGAAAATTTATGAATGTGCCGAGATGGGCAAGCTCACCTTAGAATTAAAAGAAAAAGATGATTCGGAATTTTATGCGGTTTGGGAAAATTGGTATATTTGGATAGACAACAGAAACAAAAATTGGAAATATACATAAGGTTATTGTGCAAATTCGGTTATTGTGGGTTAGACTGAATGTACATAGTGTATATATTGTACAGAATGTAGATCCATAGTATATAAAAATGACATAGTCTGCTGAATATGTACTGTATAAAGAAAAAAGTTAATTAAAAAAAAAAGAACTCACGTCATCTGGTGTTTGGCCCAAAGTTACCCACAGCTGGCTTAAGGCAGGACTAGAACTCACCACCTCCTAGGGATTGGCCCAAAATCACCCAGCCGGTTGTCATGAATGAGATGGGATTAGAACTCACTATCTTCCTGGTGATTGGCTCAAAATCATCCAACTGGTTTTCATGTTTAAGGTGGGACTAGAACTCACTACTTCCTCGTGACTGATTGGTCTAGGACCCAACTAGCTTTCATGGTTTAAGGTGGGACGAGAACTCACTGTCTCCTCTAGAAATCAACTGGATTTCATTTCAGATATGAAAACCAGCCAGGGGTCTTTGGGCCAGTCAAATGATGTGAGTTATTTATTAAAAAAATAATTAAAAGAAGATTTTTTTAAAAAAAAAAAACCCCAAATCTTTAATACAGCTTCCTTCCCCATTTTTTGGTGCATAACTCCATCCATCTGGACTTGCAACCACTGAATTAATAGAGAGATAGAACCAAGATCACGTGGAAGTATAAGTACCGCTTTACAAAGCCTTGGTAAGACCCACTTGGAATACTGCATCCAGTTCTGGTCACCACAATATAAAAAAGATGTTGAGAATCTTGAAAGAGTACAGAGAAAAGCAACAAAGATGATTAGGGGACTGGAGGTTAAAAACTTGGGAAATACAGATGCTGGAATTGAATATGTCTAGGCTAGCGAAACGAAGGACTAGGGGAGACATGATAGCAGTGTCCCAATATTTGGGTGGCTCCTACAAAACCAAGGGGGTCAAAGTATTCTCTAAAGCACCAAAAGGCAAAGACAAGAAGCAACGGATGGAAACTTAGCAAGGAGAGAAACAACCTAGAACTAAGGAGAAATTTCCTAATAGTGAGAACAATCAACCAGTGGAACAGACGTTGCCTTCAGAAGTTGTGGGTGCTCCATCACTGGAGGCTTTCAAAAGGAAACTGGACAGCCACTTGTCTGAAATGGGTATATAGGGTCTCCTGCTCCATCAGGGGGTTGGACTAGAAGACCTCCAAGGTCCCCTCCAACTCTGTTATTCTATGCTCCATGTTCCGCAGCCGTTCTTCATACGTTTTGGTCTCCAGACCTCTGATCATCTACTTTACATGACTTTACATCTACACGACTGTTTAAAACTTTCACAATAATGATCCCACCCAAAGGTAAAAAGACAGAAGAGATTCATACAACATCCCTGCAAAGCTAGAGATCGCCACCTGCTGGCCATCAGCTCACACTGCAAGAGATATTGCCCCCTGCTGGCTATCAGCTCACACTGCAGGCTTCCATAAAATTGCAATAAAGAATCCAATTTTTTTTACTGTGTTTCCCCTTTTATAGAATCAGGGAATGGATGTCAGGTAATTAGATGGTAGCCTATTAAACTGCAGTCTAAAAATTGTAGTTAATCTTTGACGCTTTAAAAAATTATGATTACTGAAGCTTTGAAAATTATACTTAATCACCGCGGCTGAATTATCATTATTTTCATTTTGCCACTCAAAACTCAAATGGGTTGTCCCGTCTCTTTTTGAAAAATGCAACGGAGTGCAGGTGAACAGCTGAATATTCCAAGCAAAGTCCTGACTCAAAATTGTTAAAAAGAGTTGAACTCAAGTTTTATTTATAGCTTCAGACTCTGGAACTCAGGGAGCAGTCATAAGTAGCTTTTGGAGTGTCGTTTGTAACTCTGAATGGTGGCTAAATGACCCGGTCATTAAGTGAGGACTGCCTGTAATTCAATGGAGGTGTTCACGTTATATTTATAATCTGGATTCCCCACTGGGCAAAGATGGAGAAATTTCTCCCTACGATGGAAATCACGTAAACACTCATACATGGGGTTATAACATCATATCACATCTGGGTCTCTCTCTCGCATTTGAGACTGAACATGGCTTAAGTCCAAAGCCACGGAAGGAACAAGACAGTGGAAAGGGTAAGGTATCAGATCAACCCCACAACAAAGGATTTTAATTCAAGGTTCTTGATAGCATCAATTAAACCATTATTGCAGTCCAGGCAATCCAGGCAGTCCTCGGCTTATAACTGTTCATTTAATGACTGTTCAAAATTACAACGGCACTGAAAAAAAGGGAACTTATGATCGTTTTTCACAGTTACGACTGTCGTGGGAAAACCCAATGAAAAAGACAAGAGACAGCAGCACAAAAGGGGCGTTGTCTTACCTGAACGCCTTTTCTCAGCACGGAGATGGAGACTCCACCATTGGGTAGTAGACTGTATTCCTGCCCAATCAGATCAAGTCAGCCAAAGTTGCCACGCCCGTCCTGGACCGTGATCTCCAGTCTTTGACGCGAGCGTAGCCATTGACTGACAGCAAGACGTTGTGGCTCACCAAACTAAC